AATAAATTTATTAATAAAATTAAAAAATTTTAATCCACTAGCAAATTGAAAAGATTACCCAACATACTTTTCTATACCAAATTAGTAGCAATTTGAATTCTAACCACATTATCCACTGATTTTAAACTACTAAATAAAAAATTTTATTGAAATTAATCATTTTAAAATAAATAAATTTAATGAATATTTATTTTTAATAATTTAGATAAAACTGTTAATATTTACTTTCCAATTGTTATACGTAATGTGTTGATTTGGAATAGAAAATTGGATTGGATTGGATAAAATTTAAAGATAAGATTGGATTGGATTAGATATGATATTATATATTAAAGTCCTAGGAAATGTTTGGTTGATTATTGGATTAAAGTAAGATTATTGGATTAATAGTGAAATTAATTGAGATAGTTATAAGATAAAAAAATTGAGATAATTATCGTTAGTCATTTTTATCAAAAACAATTATAATAATTATTAATTAATTACTCTTTTTTTTTATAAGTTAATTAATTACACATTAACTATGACAAAATTGTAATTAACTGTAATAAAAAAATTTCATTGTTTTTGTTACACCCCAAAACCCAAATTCGAGGCGTGACAGACGCCGTGCACTCGTGAGAGGGTCCCACAAATGCACAAGGCTCGGAACTTATCCGATTCACATTTGACAATCCAATAACTTAAATCAGATATTTCAAAATAATTCTATGTCCAACATAACTTAAGCTCAAATCTCAATGTCAAATTTCTTGTAAACTAACAATCCATTAAATAAATTTATAAGATCTCCAATTAAAATCTAGCTTATAAGATCATGATCTGTATTTACAATCTATGTTCACTTTACAAAATGGCTAGCCTTCTAACTCATCACTCCCCTCGTTTTTTCCCGTCCTTGACTTCGCGTCCTGAAATGGTGGATAAGAAAAAATTATGAGATAACTCAGTAAGTAAATATGGATAGCCCTTAATGAAACTTATAGCATGCCAACAAGTATAATCATGAAAAACAGATACGAGTACGGGCATGAAATAGATGTCTTCTCTATAGGTCATGGCCAGTGTTATAAACCTCCCACTGGCAGGCTACACTATTTGCTGGTGTATACCCCCACTAGTAGGGTCACTCAAACGAACCGATTCTATCAATAACATGTCGACATGTGCTAGCGTTTATAAACCCCCACTAGCAGGGTCACTAATAACATGACCACATCGGAGACAAAACAGGCAGAAGTTAACAGAAAAAAACCATAATTCACCAATCACTTTCAGACCATCAGGACAATCAATTAAATTTCAAGTAGGCATGCTCAATTCAATGAAAACGAAAATAATTCAATTTCAAATCAATCATGCTCGATGCTGATAAAATCAATTTAAAATCAATTTAAACATTGCCACCATCTCAAAAACAATTTAAAACATGTTTTAAAATCGAAGAGTGTTATCATAATTTACTTACCTCAATCTCAGTACTAAACTAACCGAACGATCAGGAACCTAATCAAAATATACAAGAATTAATTATCGTAACACAGATTCAAAAGTAAAATCACCATGACTACCCCTAATCACGATGCTATTTCTATCAATCTCCACATGACTAGACATCTCCAAATTTATTCTTATATTACAAACTAAACATTTAATCCCCATTAATTGTTGGCCATCAGTGCATGAACAGTGCCATGAACAATGCTCACGCCGTGAACAGTAATGCAACTTCCAAAAATTGGCAAAACAATGGCTAATTCACCGGATTTTTCTCCAGACAAATTCACAACAATTACTCAAGCTAATTTCCACTTAATTTAAACAAAACCCACTTAAAGCTATCGAAATTCCCCCATTTTTCCAGCAAAATTCGGATAGTGTAGGGGCAACCACTAGCTGATTTAAATTCAACAACACAAGCAGCAATTAATTGATAACTTTGACTTGGAGGAGCTGTCCATACCAGAATTCCAGCCTGCAGATTGGGGAAGCCGGCGGGAAGTGCAGGGAAATTTAGGGGAAACCAAAAACTAGAGCAATTCGCCCCCACAAAGCAGGAGCAGCCGATGGTGAGGAACAGAGCAAAGCAGATCCGGAAATTCTCTGCAGGGGGGCAAAGTTTCTGGGTTCTATGTGTGTTCTAGAGCAAGAAAAGAAGGAGAAATCCCCAAGCTTTTACCGGTTTTTTTCAAAGGGAAGGCTGTCGGTTTGGCTGGGTCTTTTGTTGCTCGGTGCAGGGGAGGAAAAAGGAGCAGAATCGGGCTGCAGAAGAAGAAAGAAGAAAAAAATGCCAGCCGATCCTTATCCAAAATTTTTCTCTTTTAAGTCCCTGAACTTTGAAATTTTGGCTATTAAGCTCAAAACAATATTTTTTCACAATTTAATCCTTAACTTAATGCTAAAATATCACAAAATTTTGGGGTATTACAATTTTCCTGCAACCCAATCAGTCAGGCCACAAAACTGATAATAAAAAAAGTTGAAGTTCAAGGGACGTCGATGGTTGACGCTCATGTTTCTCCCTTGGGGAATGTGCAAAGCTGGAAAAAGCCAGGCTCCAGCCATGGTCTGCCATTCATGGGACTGTTGGTTGTTGCGGTGTTGAACCGACGTGAAGGGAAGGGAGAAGCATCGATTCGTTTAACTACTCACGGAGAAGATGGATTCTGGCGATCGGCATGCTGTTGTCGGTGCTCTGTTGATGTGCGCCGTCTCGATCGTAAAAAAGGCATTGGCCAAAAAAATATTAAGAAAAAAGGTAAAGAATCATGGGGATAGAAAGGGGTAAAAAAGTAAAATCAAATTTTATCCCACCGAATCCCGTGGGGAAGGTGGGATATCTTTTATGAAAGGAGCTTAGGATGGGATAAAATACGGGATAACAGTTGTCCCATCCTATAACCAAACCAAGCATAGGATATAGTGGGGATGAGACAAAAATTTTGTCCTATCCCATTGTTTATCTGGTGCTCCAAACACGCTGAACATTTCTAAAGTACAGAGGGGAGAAGCGACACGTCGTACAAGCTTAGCTCCCGGGCGAAGCCAAGCCTTAAAGATCGGCTTGGGGCACGGAAAACCTATGAGTCCAGCTGCGGCTGGATCATTTTGTCGACAGTATGGACAGCTAAATCCCCTCAGTCATAGCACTTTTCCGTACATTTGAGTAGTGAAGCAGCCGGATGATCCGAGTGTCTTCTTCTTCTTCTTCTCTTCCTGCAAAGTACGCACTTGAACGTACGAGTCGCACCATTCGGCAGTCCACTTGTCAGCTGGCCTCTTTTAGAAACGCACGGTCCCCTCCCTGGAGAGAATATCTGTTGTATCTACCGGATACCAAGCCAGCGGTATTTTGGATCAATAAAAAAATTCATATTTTTTCGTACACCTTATTAATTCCTCGATTGATAAAGTATGATACAAAGTGAGGTGATAGTTTGTAATTGTCCACTGACATGGTATCACAGTCAAACATCAGATTTCTCTTTCGCAATGCAGATGGTACAATTCCGTGGGGATCAAGATATTTACACGTGCCATTGACTCACAAATTGATTGGGCAGACAGAATTGAATGTATCAAAGGTTAAATGGGAATTTCGATCCTATATAATTTTTATTTTTTTAATTTTTATGCATTTTTAATTATGAAAAATTTATTTTTTAAATTTTTTTATCAATTAATT